CGGAACGCGGATAAGCGACATATAGCGTGCGTCACATTGCCGGATAAGCGGACCGTGACTACTAGCGCGGGCATATGTGAGGCCTTTCGGCTTTACTTTCAGGATCTTTTCACCAGGGGCCCGGTCTGAGCTCTGCTCAGTTCGATGCCTATTTGGCTGACTTTCCTGCCTTGAGGCAGCTGAAGCGGCTAGGTGCGAGGGTCCCATAACAGAGTCGGAAATCTGGGATGCGCTGAAGCAGGTTGGCCTGGATAAGTCTCCGGGACTAGATGGACTTCCCTACGAAGTGTACTTGAGGCTGTCGCCCGTTTTTTGTTCCTTTGCTGCAGCTGATTTACAACCACTGGATGAGGCAGGGGTCTTTACCTCGACGCTTCACCAGGGGTGTGATCAGGTTGTTGCGTAAGGACAAGAAAAGGGAACTTTCGCCCTTTGACGATGTTAAATACTGACTTAAAGATTTTGGCGAAGATCTTAGCCAACCGTTTGCAGCTTGTCCTGTCTCGTCTGATTGGCCCGAACAGACTTGTGCTGTGAAGGGCAGGACGATTCAGGATAACCTTCATATGGTACGCTTGATCTTAGAACAAGTCGACAGTGAAGCCGCGCTGATCAATTTAGATCAGTCAAGGCCTTCGATAGGGTTGACCATCGGTTTCTGGAGGCTGTCCTGTCGGCGGCCGGTTTCGGAGCCGACTTTCGCTCCTGGATCCGTCTCTTGTATGCGACCCCGGTGCGCTGGTGGAAGTGAATGGGGTGAGGTCGGGCCTTTCGTATTGTCTCGCTCCATTCGTCAAGGTTGTCCGCTATCGCCCTTGCTTTACGTTCTTGCGTTGGAACCATTCCTTCGCAAGTTAAAGGCGAATCCGGTCCTGCGCGGAATTTTCCCTGCCTGGCGCTACCACCTCGGCCAGGTATTCTGCCTATGCTGACGACGTTTCGGCTCTTGTGTCGAGCAGAGCCGAGATTGACGAAGTCAGCAAAGAAATCAGTGGGTATGAGATGGTAACAGGGGCCAGGATCAACCGCGATAAGTCTGTGGGCTTGCGGTTGGGGGTGGAAGGGAGTTTCTCTTCCGGACCTTTCCTCTGGACGGATGGGCCGATCAAGATACTCGGCGTCTGGTTCGGTCCTGATCTCCAGTTGGAAATGAACTGGTCGGAGGTACAAGGGAAGGCCGAGGTCGGTTAATCTGTGGTCTCGGAGGAGACTTTTCCCTGAAGGGAAGGGGAGGTATGTGTTTCACACATCTATCCGATCCTCCTCTACCGACTCTCTGTGCTTCCACTCCCGTATGCCCGGCTAATGTCATTAGTCCGGACCTTGTTCTCTTTCTTATGGAAGGGCAAGGCCCTATGGTATCTCTGAGGTCTGTTGCCTCCATCCCTCTGAGGGCGGTCTGGGGATGCCTAGCATTGAGATCCGTCAATATATGCTTCGCATTACCTTTTTAGACCGAATGTGTCGTGGGTCGAATGAGGGAGGTGCCTTTTGGAAAAAGACGTCCAGAAACATTTTCCATCCCTGAAAGTGTGCACTCGTGCGAACAAAGGCCGGCCGTTTACCACGTGCCGAGTGCTCTTTTTATCGTGAATGTCGTCGCGCTCTGAAGCTCCTCTTACGGGCTTCGGATGGTCTCTCCAACGCCCAGGCGTTGTCTCGCAAGGCATTATATCAAGTTTTAGTTAGGGGTCCGTACAAGATGATCTGATTGGCGAGCTCGGTCTTACGAAGCAGGAGGCTCGCTCGATATGGCCTTGGGCGCCCGGGTTGAAATGTCTCAATAACGATGAGGCATCACTCACCTGGCTGGTGATTCGTGAAGCCCTCTGGGTCGGCAAGAGACTTTGTTCAGCAGGCTTGGAGAAATATCAAACTGTCGTCGCTGTACGGGGAAGTCGAGACTATTGGTCACGCCTTCTTTCAGTGCAGGGCAGTGGTACCGGTAGTGCAGCAGGTTTGTTTGAAGGCCTCATGGTTCGCATGCTGCACGGAAAGTTTTTGTCCTGGAAGCCAGTTCTGTTTGTAGCAATGTGGTGCCGCAGATGACGAAGGCTGAACACTATGTGTTCTGTTGCTTACTGGGGTTATGAGAGTCGTGATTTGGACGACGCGTCAGAAGGGATTCCATGAGGGCGAGAAGTTCACTTCTTCCCAACTGATCTTGTTCTTTAAGCATCAGCTTAAAGTCAAGATCAGGACGGAAAAACGGCGGCTCACCTCATCGGAATTCAGCAAAAGGTGGGTGAATCTTGCGAATGTGCCGAGTAAAGGGCTGACCTAGTGGCATTTGGATGCCGGTTAGGCATTAAGAATATTGTTTTCCTGGGTTAAACCTAGGCAACCCATCCCGGAGTTAGGCTAGAGTAGGTTTTTTGCATTTTTTCTTTTAGTTTTTCTATTCTGGTAAACTTAGCTAGGGTGTATTTGCTCATTGGTCCCCTTTTATTTATGTCCCCATTTTCTTTTTTCCTTCAGTTTAACTCCCCATCCCCTCCCCCCTTTTTTAGGTGGTCAGTGATGTCAGTTCTCCTGGTAGATGCGGGGCGCCTTTCGTTTCGTGTGTGGGTTTTCGTATTTGTTGTTGTGTATGAATGAGTGTGTGCCTGTGTGAATGGTTGGGAAGAATGAGTGTGGCTTTATTTTTATAAAGTCCGCATCGATTTCGTCGGTTAACTGATATTTCTACCACATTCAAGAGTTTGTGGGGGTTTTTATTACTAACACTAATTTTATTTAGTTTCTTGTAAATATATTTTGTCATTTTGTATATATTCATTGGGGATCAGTTTTTTAGAAGTTGTTGTTTTATGCCCCTCCCCCCACAGACAATATTTTGTAAATAAGGGGTTTATTTAGGTTTTTCATGGAGTCAAAAGGCATTTTGGTGTTTGTAGTGTGAAAGGTATGGATAAATGTGTTGTTTTGGTGAAAGGATTATTGTTCTGTATGATAGGGTCAGTGATTGTGGCTAGCTAAGTTTTAAGCTAAGACAAGTGATGACCGTCCTTACCCCAACCCCTTTTTGGCCTTGTGCCGCATTTGTACTAATGTACAATAAATAATGTTGGTGAAAACAGATTGCTGTCAGTATCAACTCCGGCTTTTGATTCAAGGACTATTATATCCAGCCGAAAGAATCTCTATAAAAAGTTGCCGACCAACCAAAACCCAAAAGAGAATTTCATGGAACAAAGTTGGTAAATAAATTTTGACTAATTTTCATTGACCAAACTAAAATTAATATTTATTTACACACCTTTGTGGATTTCAAATATAGCATAGATTACTTCACTAGCCCTAAAAGTGATTTAAAAGATATTTGACTCCTTTCCTTCTCCTCGTAACACTTGCCAGTAACTCTGTTTTCTGTTTTGTGAGCCACAATTGTTTATCTTGTATATATTTTATGTTCTGTTTTAGTAAATTAAATATTTGTTTGTGATTTAGCTCTGTGTTGTGGTAAATAATTTTTTTTCTTTGTTACATTTATCAACACGTAACAATATATATATATATATATATATATATATATATATATATATATATATATATATATATATATATATATATATATATATATATAAAAAGTAATAGATTTTATATTTATTAATCCGGCAAATTTTATCCCTTACACCTTAAATTTAGTGGATACTTATATTTTAGTAGGCGCTCTGTATACACATATATATATATGTAAAGATGTAGTATATTTGAAATGACGCGTTAAAAATTTAACTACTGTATTGGCAAGGTTTTCTTTTCGATAATGATTCGAAAGTCTCTCTGTCAGTTATGTGCTATGCAGGATGCACACTTAGGCGATCATGTACTTTTGGATACATGACTGACGAGGCAGATTTTTTTCTCGCAGTAGGTTGCCATTTCTTTCTGCGGTAGTCGAGTTGCCATCCAAGGCTATAGAACCCGGTCTGTGCTATTTACCCATAGCTGATGTGGGAGGAAGAAGTGGTTTCATCCTTTTCTCAAGGGTATTAGCACGTATGCGAATGCAATGGATCCGACTGGTATTTGAACTTGGCCCTCCGATTCCTCGATGGGATCCGCTATCTATTATTCCACATGCCCCACCCCCTAAGTAGTTGACACAAAAAAATGGGAAAGCATGACCTCTGGAAAATTTAACCAGTTTTAATTTGTTTCCACAACTTTTTTGAGAAATAAACAATAAAAAATAAACATAAATCGTCGCTGAATTTAATATAAATTGTTTAAATTCTTGCTGCCTTTAAATACAAAGTAATAATATTTCATTTTATTTTCCCATGTCGTCAAATGCGAATGTTAATAGTGTGTTAGTAGAAATTAAATCATCCTACCATATATATATTTTTTGCATTGTTCCAAGTCACAGTTTGTCAAAATGGAGTCTGACATTAAAGTGCGTTCCAAGCATTGAATATCATCATGTGGAAGAAATTACACCCATTGAAATTTATTGGCACTTACTGAAGTTTACAGAAACCATACATTGAATGTGAGCACAGTTAGGTGACAATGATTTTCGTCAAACTATGTTTTTGTTGGCTCAACATGACAGTAAACCCACGAAATGAAAGAGCACATTGATCAGTGGTGGTGTCTAAGTTGTAAAAATAGTGTTTTGTAGCTGATAACTTACTTTAATCAACAAAGCCTTTGTACCACCTGTAGTATTGTGTAGTTTTTCCTTGGAAATTAATAAGAGACATATACTTTGGGATCGTACCTTTTTTTATACACGCACATATAATGGCCGGCTACTTGTTTTTCGAACACAGCAGACTGCAAGCGGGGCTGGAGACACATTTACAACTATGCTGAGTGGAACTTCGTTCTGGGGGAGAGCACATAAACAAAACCAGCACGTTCAAATCTTCGGACACGATGACAAGTGACTTTGTCGGCTTTCATGCAGTTCTCTCTATCCAATTTCATTCACAAGGCTTTGATCAATACGTGGTTATCATCCGTATGACCTGGTTGGAATGTGAACGTTCTTACCACTCGGCCAAGTGCTTATACACATGTTTACAGGCATAGATAGATAGATAGATAGATAGATAGATAGATAGATAGATAGATAGATAGATAGGAAAAGTATTATCCGACAGATTCCGAAAGATACGAACAGACAAAAATAAAAATACTGATAGATAAGACCATAGAAAATCAGAAAGATAGATTGATAATGATGAAGCTGAGACAGCTAGATAGATAGATAGATAATTGTTATGGTCCAGGTTAGGACCAAGGAAGAACAACACGAACACAAGAGTAGAAATAACGAAGGTATATTACACGAAATAATAATACAAGATGTGGAAAGGTGTTAGTATGACTGTCAGTCTGGTTTGGAGTGAACTACTATCGGCTCGACTCGATTCGTCCCTCTCTCTTGAGAGGCGTGATATACATAGTCTTAGGAAGAGTTCATTTTGTAGTTATAGGTAAGGATCCATGACAATATTGAATGAAGTGACTGGGATAAATAGCTAGATATATAGATATGATTAGACTGAGATAGATAGATAGATAGATAGATAGATAGATAGATATGAACAGTCTGTAATAGATTTAAAAGGTTACTGCTCAAATATACATTTACACACGCACACATACACACACATATATATGTATAACTTCGCTTTTATAAAATATAATTTTGTACAACGTCTTAAAGACATTTCTTTTATATACCTTTTTTCCTCACGAAATTCACCAATGCTCACATAATTCGGAAAATAGAAACTCTTAAACTTTCTTAATATCCAAACTATTTATTTATTTTATTTAAATGACTCAGTTGCTTATACATTCATTTTATTTTATTCAATTATTTTATATTATGGATTCCGAATAAATATCAGACATATTTCATACCAAAATTGTGACCGTATTTATTATCCTATATATGCCTGAGCTGATTTAAAGAAAAAAAAACACATACGAATTATCGTTAAATACAAATATGATGCTTTTGTTATTTTAATAAAATACACTCAGTACAAGGATTGCAACTCAAGATAAAGTGTTACTGTTAAATGGTCAGGATGAATGAAGTGCGCTATACGGATGTAAGAGGAGGTGATAGTAAATGAAAATTATCAGCATATATAGGAAAGGTGACGATTGAAAATGAAGATTATCAGCATATGTAGGAAAGGTGACGATTGAACCATGAAGAGGTTAAGATGTTTTTGTTATATGACAAAAAAGGCTTTAATGAAATAAAACTAATTTTCTGCTCTTTATTTAATATGTATTTAAAGTTTTTCAGGTGCTAAATAAATAGAAATAATAATGAAAAACAAAATAAAAACATATTTTTTAATCATTTTAGCTGATGACGTCAATTATTTAAAATGTTTGTTTTTCCATATTTTTACGCACTTCATAAAGGAAGTTATTATAAACTTTGAAACGAAAACGAGATTTTTTTTAATTCAATTTAGATATTTTGTTAATTGTTCTTCAATGAATTACAAACGAGCTTCATTTAAAATTTCTGAAAAATGTCCTCTCTTTTCCAATTCACAAGAAAAGTGTAAAGAATTTCTGGCGGGAAAGAAAATGAATAAAATCTCGGTGTTTCTTTTTTACTCGCCCACATTTCGTTTGCAGTAGGAATCAACCAGGACTTTCCTCATCGAGAAACTTTTTTTTTCTTTCGATGTATCTATAGTTTCATTGAAAGAAATGTATTATTCATCGATTTATTCACTCACTTTATATCAAGCGACTCAAATTTCTGACATTATCTTAGGATTGTCAAATAACTATCCATTAAAAATCTTGAATTAGTTTTTGTTTAAACCTATGCTGATTGCAAAATGGAAAGAAAAAATAGTATCAAGCTTTCATTTATTCACCCAAAAATTAATTCTAGCCCAAAGTTTAACCCAGTGGACCGAGAAGACCATCAATAACAACTGGAAATAAAAACTAATAGCTTATAACAGAACTCTTTACAATAAATCATTTGTTTGAGTAGATAGTTGTTCATATATATATATATATATATATATATATATATATATATATATATACATCCAAGTATATGATTGGTGTATACGGAATAAATTCCAATAACCAACAATTACTATTCTTAAAAGAGTGCTCAGTACAGAGTAGAGCAGATATAATTGCAGCCATAATAAGAAAAGAAGATCTAGAATGATCATCTGGTTTACTCCCCCTTTCAATATAATGTTTAAAACTAAATTAGGACGTATATTTATAAACCTCAATAGCTATTATAACCTTACTTCGTTGTCAAGTTTTTTGAATTTTCCTATACTTGTGTTTTGATTGGTCATTCTAGCTTTTGTAACAATGTTTTCCCCTTGCGAAGGATCGTTAATTAATTTGAAACTTTTAAAACCATTGATTTTACATTCAACATCATCACTTGATAAGACACCGGAGGTGTTGAAACAAAATGTCTATTTTTGTAGTGATTTTATAACATATTTATGTTATAATTTTGAATAAATAATAAATATATATATATATATATATATATATATATATATATATATATATATATATATATATATATTGTTCATATATATATATACACACACACACAATAGTTGACGTCTACCAGCTAGCGTTTTTTCGAGTCTTTAATAAAAAGAAATATAGCGTTCGGTAAGCATGGCTCGAACCTACGCCTTTTTCATATAGGCGGCAACCACAGTATAGCACGACGTGCTTTTAGACAACTCGGTCAAGGAATATTTCAGACAAAGCAAGGATCAATTATCCTTATAAAGGGAAACACACCTTTCGTCAGTTCTTTCAAAGCACATAAAAGGAAAAGGGAAACTGAATATAGAATATGCTGTGCTAGAGGTAACTTCCCTGGTCAAAAATATCTAAAATAAGCTGTATACAACCGCTTTCTAAGATTAATGGTGAAAATGCTTCGAGCGAGTAAAGCTTGACGTTCTTGGCAGAGGTCATCTTTCTTTGAACATTGTGAACTGTCGTGACAGAATCACAAAGAACTGTACCAACTAACAGAAACCACATCACTTGTGGACTATCAATAGCAGCAAGAACTTAAATGGATAGCACCTGTAACGCGAAGAGAAAATAATGACATAATCAGTATACTGACATTCTACACTATTTCAAATGAGAGGTTAGGAAGGAAACCATTACCATGTCAGCTACCTTTATTTTCGCATCCGAAACGTAGACACAATAATTACTCATGAATTTATAGGTTTTAACCCATATAAACATCATATTTTAGTGTATATATTTTATGAATATTTTTATAAACCTCATATTTTTAGTGAATACATTTGTATGAGTAGCGGATTGATACACACGTGCACGCACGCGCACGCACACATACACAAACATACACACACATACACACATATAGTGATTTTCATAGCGTAGCTTAGATGTGGAACAAGGCCGCAAGTATGTGGCACCCAGTGAGGATCGAACTCACTACTCAGTCGTAACTGTTCTAGCGAAAGAAGCAACAATTAGCGCACCGAGGTGTCCATCACACATACATAGATATCGTCATCTTACTAGAAATTCTTTATAATGACTAAAAAAAAAATTGGACACTGCATTTTTTACACTCTTCTTGTGAATTGGAAAAGAGAGGACATTTTTCAGAAGTTTAACACACATATATATATATATATATATATATATATATATATATATATATATATAGTTAAATCTAGAGAGCCAGGCAGCCTAAACGGATCATCAGGGAAGGCCGGCCTTAAGTGAAACCTTGGTAGGTTGTCTGGCTCTCTAGGTTTAACTAGGTCTGCTCTACTCATTGTATTGAGCACTTTATTTAGTTATTTTGCGTACTCACGTTTTCGTTTTTTTTTTTTCTTTGAGCCTTGAACTCTTATGCTGGACGATTATTATTATATATATATATATATATATAATATCGCAGATTGGGTGCTGACGCTAATAAAATACTGCTCGATATATCAGAATAAATATTCATTTTTTTCCGCACCAGCAGCACAAATTTGAGTTTCATGCACGAAGAGTTTTCAATCAGTTTTCACATGCTGATTGAAACCCAGAGTTGTGTTACCAGTCAGGATATATATATATATATATATATATATATATATATATATATATATATATATATATATATATATATATATATATAGGGATAGGCGGGAAGATCACAGGAATTAACACTGCATGGTGACTGTCAGTTTTCATCTTCACCGGAATCTTCAAACCAAAATGTGAAGCTTGTATTGTAACGTGAAACTTACAGTTACCATACGGTGTTGAGTCAGATGTCCATGTCTATAACAGCACGTTCTCCGATATTGAGCACTCTTGCCACATAATTGTGACAATTTTATCAATATATTGAGTTCTGGTGACTCTCTAAGCGTAGCGTAGATGCGGCACAAGACCGAAATTATGGGACACCCAGTGAGGATCAAACTCAGTATTCAAGCCTGCTAACCATTGCACCACGGGAAACCAATTAAACCCTTACTCGCTATTGTAGTAATAGTCTACGAGGTTATTTTACTGTCCATTACTTGACCAGTACTTCAATCCAAATTGTACCCTTTACTACGCGAAACATAGTCTAGTGAGACTCGAACATAATACACTTGGTAATTAATTTCTGCAGCCAGTTTACTAACCATTGAGACATAAAACAGACTTTTTTATACTAAGATTAGTTCAGCCTGTCACAAAGCCAAACAGTGCATCTAGAAAAACTGTTTCGCAAACTTTCCAATTAAAGAGAGACTTCCTGATCTTAAATTCTGTTAATACACACCCGACAGAAATTATATGTACACTGCAAATATGAGTGATATCTTACTGAATTAGATTTTCGTGCTAAAAGTCTATCATGTACTCGGAGGAGAACCTGAGATATACTTTGTAATTAAATTTAGATAACGTTTGGTGAATGATTGCTACGGACGTCTACAATGGTAACACCCACAATTCGATTCTTGAGGAGCTGAGACAGTTTATCACGGATATAGGAAGAAAATCCATTAAGAAAATCCTAGGGTAGGAAATTTTGTCGTACATGTTTTTTATATTAAAAATCCGAAAGTCCGAATGCCAAACAATGATAAAATAAAGAAAACATGGCTATACCTGTTAAATCATTTTTATTCGCAAGTACATGAATTCAAAAGACACAAAGGATTAAAAAATAAGTCTTTAGTTGGGTAGTTGGTGCACAGTAAAATTCTGTGGTTGAGGAAGCACTTTGATCGTCAGAGAAGATTCGCTTACCATTCCCGCTGTTGCTGTTGGAAATGATTAATTTGAAGCGGGCGACAGATGCTTCTTTCAGCACGTGATGGGATATGTAGCCACATCTTCTCTTGTGTTTGAACGGCTTGGAGATAGTCGCATCTCTGCTTCTCAAAGCCGAAATATGTGGGATTTTATAAGAAAATTTTCCCGAAAATAGGTTCGAGAACAATAGGTTTTTTTTTCTGAATTTTAAAATATTTTACATGGTAATGTTAATTTCTAATCAATAGACACTTTAATTTATTTCAAATGTATGTC